TATATATATATATATAATCACACAAGTTCTATGTGTTTATATATCTAACAACTATATTAAAATTTTTACATATATCATTTTACTCATGATTGAAATTGTACATTCCCTTTTCAAATGCTAGTCGAAATAGGAAATAGCGCTACTTTTGATGTGATAGTCAAAATTTGAATATTATAAATGTAAAAATTAAAATTTAAAGCTATAGAAAAAAATACATAAGAATTGCACAATATATATAGTACATAATTATTATATATGTATTTATATATCTAATAACTAAATATTAACAGTTATATTGATTATCCTTTGGTATCATAAAATCACGCACGCGCGCACGCACACACACACAAATAAATTTAAGTAATAGTGATATTTTAAATGTGATAAATATATATATATTATAAAAATGAAAGTTTAAGTGTTTAGAAATATAAATACATAAGATTTTGTGTAGTATTGATCTAAATACCCCCAACAAAAGTTACATCATGAAATACCCTTATCTTATACTTATTTATGTTCGATTTGATCGACAATACGAAAAACAAAAAATATAATTAATCAGTACGTAATCATCAGGGGCAGACAAACTGTCCCCCTAAACCCAACCTGAGAGGTGGCTAGGACAACGAATGACAAAATGATATATATTTTAAGAGAGACAAAATATCAAATTACCCTTCCATATAAGTAAAAATCTGAATTTTAGAACCAATCAATCAAAACAAATACAAATAGTTAAACTTCATTAAGATCACGCACCATGATGGAGAGAGGCGAGGCGTACATGCAGATGGAGAAGATGGTGGCCGCGGAGCCGCAGAAGAGCTTGCGAGAGTTGTCGTGGAGGGCGAGCACGGAGATGAGAGCAATGGCGGCAAACAAGGAGGAGACGAGAGAGAGGAGCGCGAACATGCGACCCCTCACCTTCGTGGGCGCGTAAATGAGGAAGATGAGCACGTAGATGGCCTCAATCAGCGCCCCCGTGCCATTGATCGTCCACACCAGCATGTTATTTGGTGAGACAAACGGTAGCCCGTACCTTCATGCAAAAAAAAAAAAAAAAAAAAAATGTAAATAATTTTATTTACATAAATACCACACAATTCTTATGTATTTAGATATACTTTAGGTTCACCGACATTTACATACATACTACTCAATTTTATGTATTTTACATACTATATTTTTACATTTATACCGCCCAAATCAATCATATATCACATCAAATTCAATTTACATACATACCAGTCAATTTTATTTATTTACACATCTAACACCTATGCCTTTTTTATTTTACATTTATACAACCCAAATCACTCATATCACATCAAATAAATCATTATTACAAAGAAATTCAATTTATATACATCCCACTCAATTTTATTTATTTACATATCTAACACCTAAGAATTTTTTATTTTACATTTATACCACCAACATTATCCATCACATAAAATATATTACTATTTTAATTTTTTTAAAAAATTGAAATACGTGTTTTCATGCATAGATAAAATGATATATATCAGTTATTTGAGTGGACATAAAAATGATTTTTAAATACATTTATGATTTATTAGGTCATGCCTTAAACGTCAATTCAACTTTTGAACCTTGAACCTGTCATTCTGCCAATTCAATGTCCGGCCCCGTTTTCATAACCTTCATATTTTACTTTTAAGAAGTTAATAATAATTATATTTTTTTTTATTTGAAGTTAAAGAGTTGAGTGGTATGCATGAAAATATGAAAGTTTAGGTGTTAGATATGTAAATATATAACAATTGAGTGGTATGTTTGTAAACACCCCAATATTTTTGTAGATGATTTTAGATTTACATACATAGCACTTAAATCCTATGTATTTATATGTCTAACACCCTATCAATGCATGTGAAAATGTATATTTAAACCGAGATGCTAATATGACTTGAACTTCACTCAATAAATTTAGATTCGAATTGACCTGATTAATTTTTGGGCTGGATTCGGGTTAAGTTACTCACCCGAAATTGACCATAATCTGACTTATCGACCCAAAATTTGACTCTAAATGAACCTAAATTTGACCTAAATAACCATTATGCATAATTAAATGAGTTATGCCAGCCAGATTTGGATTAGTCGAGTTGAAGGCGAATCAGATTTAGATTAAATTTACAGAATTTAATATTTGGGTCAAGTTTAATGTTCTGTTTGGGTCAGCTGCAGCTTATTAAAAAGTAAATGTGAAGCTATTGAATAATAACCTGATGCTCAAAAAGCTGCAGCGATTATTGTAATTTTTTTTAAGTCCGTCCGTAGCTAGAAAACTGCCACCACACCTAGTCAGGAGTATGGGAAAATGCAGATTTCAGCGACAGTTTTCTGAAAAAACTACCAAAATATATTTTATCCAAACAGACAAAACTGCGATGCGGTGTCGCATTGCAATCCCAAACGGATAAAAACTTAATTAGGGCTGGGTTAATTTCAGATTAGACCCTGAGTGGATGTGATATGAAAAATTAATAAATTGGGAAAATAATACTAATCACATCTTAACAAATAATAATAATAGTAATTAAGAATTAATTATTACGTGGCGAACGACCTATAAATTAGTGCTTTAAATTACTCTTCGTGGCGGTGTTTCCAATATACTGACAGTGCTTAATATAATTAAACATTTACAATAAAATAGAATTGTTTTGGAAGATTTGCATACAAATCACTAAATTTTTATGTATTTATATATATAACACTTAAAACCTTAATTTTTACATATGTACCACATTATTCATGCATGAAAAAGATATGTTTCACTTTTTAAAAATTTAGATGGTATAAATGTAAAAAATAAAATTGAAGTGTTAGATATCTAAATTCATAGGAATTGGATGTATGAATGTAAATGCCCCTAAGAAATTAGTATGATGATAAATTTCATGTTATAAATATAAGAAAAGAAAGTATTGGGGTTAGATATGTAAATTAAGTAGGAATTGAGGGGTATATTGCAAATATATTTATTGATTGATGGAAGAGCACATGGGAAGTTATAGACGAGCAAACATCAGACAACTTCTAGATAGGGAGGTTATAATTTTATATAAAGATTGAGTTCCCGTTTGGGGCAGTTTATTTAATGCGGTGGCGTTTTGAAAATACACCTGGTCTGCTTGGGTAAATTGTGTTTTGACAGCTTATGTGTTTTCAAAATGTTGAAAGTAACGTTTTCACACCACATTTATCTAGGTACGGTGATAGTTTTCTAGCTGCGGTCTTGTTTTTTTCAAAAAAAAATAAATTTATAGTAGTCACCACATCTAACTTATCAATATATTAATTTTAATCAGCTTAACAACAGATCATCCAATAAACTGCAACTGCCCCCAAACAGACAATAAATTTTATTTATAAAAATAGTAATTGTTTATTTTAAAAAAATATTATTAATGAAGAAAATTAGAGTGCACCATAAAAAAAATAATGAATACTAAGAAAAAGATTTTAGAAACATTTACATATCTCATACCTAACTTTTTATATTTACATAAATAACATTCAAATATTTATTTAAAAGTGCTATGTGCATGAATATATGAAAGTTTAGGGGTTAGATACATAAATACATAAAAATTATGTGCTGTTTAAGTAAATTTTTAGTTAGAAGGTTACCAGGCGGAGAGGAGGCAGTTCAGCAAGGTCATGTTGTACGGAACTCCCGAGAAATCTTCTGTGGACTTCTTCCGAATAACTCTCCGGAACGTTAATCTGTTAATTAAAAATAGAAATTAGGCCAGTCCCAAAATATTTCTCAACATGTGCTATTTTGAAAATATTATTTTTTTTTTACTCACATGGGAGACAAGAACAAGAAGAGCGCAGTCGCATTGCCTGCAAACAAAACGAAAATTATAAAATAAAATTAAAAAATTACAAAAAATATTAGATCATGACTCCAAACAGAGAGCTATGTTCGGAGTCCAATAAAATGAAGTCACGTGAATGTGATAGAAAAATAAAAAAAATTGATTTAGCATAAGGGAATATTCTCTCCCTTGTTATTTTACATTATTCATATATTATTATGGTGATATTCATGTGTTATTGTGTTATGAGAATATTCCCGGTATTATAATAATTATAATAATAATAACACAATAACACATTAATATCATCACGATAACACCTGAATATTACGGAATAACACAGGAGGAATATTCTCCTCTATTATCGAACAAGATCACAGGAAAGCGCACACACTTTCTTGAAGCAACGTGTGGGATGTAATATTTTTCCCAAACCAAAAGAAAAAAAAAATTTCAGAAGAAGAGTACAAGAACTCACCAAAAATCCCAAATATAAAATGCGCAATTTCCATCTGATTATCCCACCGCGATTATCACTATTAATCGCTACTCGAAGCTCTATAGCTGTATCTAAACTCAAAATCAAACAAGAACCAGAGCGTTTTGGTTTGATTCTGCTGCAGAGCTATATATATTATTTATAGGGTTAGAGGAAGGAGAAGACGGGGGAAGAGGGGAAGAGGGGAAGAGGGGAAGAGAGCTACAGGTGCTCATCTGCAAGGCCTAGCTGTGGCCGTAGAAGCTCTTAAAACCTTTTCAGGAATAACGACAAATACCTTGCGCTCAAGATTCCCTCTTCACTTTTCTTTTCTTTTTTTTTAATTTAATTTAATTTAATTTTCTTAATTTTAATGATTATGGAATTATCTTAATAAATAATAGAATTTATGTAATGAATATGTAAATATATAAAAAAAATTAAGAAAAGAAAGGGAGCCAAATGACAAGCATGCATTATAGATGAAATTATTTTAGTACAATACGACACATGTGTGATTAAGGATGTAAACGAGCTAAACAGGAGCGAGTCTAGAACTTATTCTCGTGAAAAATTTGTTTATGTTCGACTCGATTCATATACGAATTAGTTTGTGTTCCGCTCCAATTTAAATTATGGCCCAACTTACTTTGCAACTTACTTTGCTTCTTCGTTGAGCCCATCATTAAAAATATATTTAATTAAACTACTATTTATTAATTAAGTAAGATAGTTATTTTAAATTAACCGGGTCGAATGATACAAGTCATTCGCATTTCCTGCAGGGAAGCTTATTTGAGGGACAACTCAAATCTCATGTATTTAAACACATGCCATCCAATTATTATACTTTTGCATATCTATCACCTAAATTTATATTTTTATAATTACGCCACCCAAATAATTTTAGATAAATGTTATTAATTAATTATTTCGAGTCAAAACAAGTCAAGCACCAACGAGTAAATCTTTGTTTGTGTTTGACTCTTTATAAATCGAGCTCAAAAATTTTTTTTGTGTTCGTCTCGCTTGTTTAATGAATGAATCAAAGACAAGTTATCTAACGAGCCGAACACTGACAGTTCGTTCACGAACAACAAGCTTTTTTGACAACCCCACATGTGATTATTGATATGTACTGCAACTACACTATGTTCCACGTGCAAAGCATTGTGGCAGTAACCTGCACGATAGTAGCCATTGTTGGCGGCACGATGCTCTTACAATATATATGAAATTATTTTGCTAATTATATAGAACATTAAAATAAAACATAAATTACACTTAGGGTGCATTTGCGAGCACTTTATAAGTGTTTTTTTTTTGAAAAGCTGTTTAACTTGCATTTGGGAGTCAACATTTCACATGCTTTCATGATAATCCCATTTTGGAAACGAGGATTCCACAAACGACAATGTCACACTCGGTTCTGCAGTTCTAATCGTGGTATAGATTCAAAATTACTATCTTGCCCCTCATCAATTCATTAATTGTCTCGTTTTGTCCCTGTTATTACCCTTCCCTCTTCTCCATCACTTTGGCTTTGTTGCAGGCAAGTGGTATTAGAGCACCTTTGCAATTCTCTTCTCTTCTCCCCTGCATTCATTGTTTCCTCTCTCTAAATGTATCTCCAACCCTAGACTCCTTTCTAATTTTTCTCTGTGGTAGTGGTTTGTTGCTACTCATTTTACCTATGTGGTTGAGTCTTTGGGCATTTCATGTTTCTTATGTGGTGGTTGTTTGATGCTTCTCGTTTAATTTATTTGGTTGTGTCATTAGGGCCTCTCGGTTACCTCTCTGGTGGTGGCTTGGTGCTTCTTGTTTTACGTATGTGGTCCTACCTTGGGAACTTTCTATTTTTCTTTGTTGCGGTGGTTCGGTGCTTCTCATTTTGCTTATGTGGTTGTGCCTTGGAGCATTTTGATTTTCTTCTGAGGTGGTGGTTTGGTACTTCTCATATTACTTATGTGGTTATGTCATTGGGGCTTCTTGGTTGTACTTTGTGGTGGTGATTTAGTGCTTCTCATTTTACTTATATGGTTTTGTCATTGAGGCTTCTCAGTTGACCTCTGTGGTGGTGGTTTAATGCTTCTAATTTTACTTATGTGGTTATGTCATCGGGGCTTCTCGGATGTCCTTTATGGTGATGGTTTTGATGTTTCACATTTTTTTATGTGGTTGTGCCATCAGGGCTTCTCGAGTGGCCTCTATGGTGGTGATTTGACACTTCTCATTTTACTTATGTGGTTGTGCCATTAGGGCTTTGTAGTTTTCCTCTGTGCTAGGAGTTTGGAGCTTCTCATTTTACTTATGTGGTTGTGCCATTGGGGTTTTTCAATTTTCCTCTATGTTGGTGGTTTGGCTATTCTCATTTTACCACATTGGTTGTGCCTTTGAGCTTCTTGATTTTCCTTTGTGGTGGTGGCTTTGTGTTTCTCATTTTACCACATTGGTTGTGCCTTGGGACTTCTCGGTTTTCTATTGAGGTGATGGTTTGACACTTCTCATTTCACCACATTAGTTTTGTCTTGGCGCTTCTCGAATTTCCGCGGTGTAGTTGATCTGGTTGTGATTTTGGTTGTAGTAATGAACTTCACTTGTAAAGCTCATAGGCACAACCTCATATATATAAGCTCAAGGAGCGCGCGCGTGCGCGAGCACGTGCACACACACACACACACACACACACACACACACACACACACACACACACACACACACACACACATATATATATATATATATAACTTCTTTATAAGTTTCATGCATCACCTGAAGATGTGATACACTTGATTCTTGTGAATTCAAATAAAAATAATGAACTTAATATCACAAGTTGAATTGACATCCAAAGATGAATGCGGGTGTGCTTTTGGAGAAATTATTGCATACGGACACCGCATGCATCTCTGCATGCGGTGTCCGATCCGATCCTGACCGTAGATCACAGTGATCTACGGTCAAGATCATTTCAGTTTTTTGTTTCTTTTTTTAAAATTTAGGTGAAGCCCACCGAAATACATCATAACCGTAAATCACCTGATTTACGGTCAAGATCGGACACCGCACGCAAGATGCGTGCGGTGTGCGTGCGGTGTCCGATCCGTATGGAATAATTTTTCGTGCTTTTGTGGTGTCCATTTTTTTTTTTGAAAAGCTTTTATGGTCCCTGTTGGCTGAGTGTGGGTTTAGATTTACAATGTTGGATGTTGGTAGGAGTTGGCTTTGATTTTGGTTGTGGCTTTGCATCGATATTGTGGTTGGTTTGGTTGTGATTTTTGTTTTAGTTTGCATCGATGGTTGTCAGTTTTGGGTGTGATTTGGTTGATACTTTGCATACAAACTAGTGAACTATTATGCATTCATATATATAATGTATATTTTGATGCCTTTGATTTTTGTAATGTTATATTGAGCAATGATAGAAAAAAAAAACAAAGAGATCAACCGATTATCATTTGTGAATAATATAATTGATCCAACTTGTTTGCCATAGATATTACTTGATCATAAAGTACGCATCACACAAACACATATACTACATGGTCTTACCACACATGACTCTACTAACTACTGATACAACTTGGTCTTACCACACATGTCACTGTTAACCACAAATACTACCTACTCTTAGAGAACATATCACTTTGTTAACCATGGGTATTGCTTAGTCTTAAAAAACACATCACACAGTTAACCATACATATTGCATTGTCTTAAAACACACAACACACTGTTAATCACATATAATACATGGTCTTACCACACACATGATGCTGCTAACATTAGAGACTACAATCTTATACCACATATAACATTGTTAATCACATATACTACATAATCTTACCACACATGAGTTTGTTAACCTCAAATACTACCTGGTCCTATAGCACACATCAAAAAGCAAACATAGATGCTATGTGATCTTAGAGCACACATCACACTACTAATCATAGATTCTATTTGGTCTTAAAACGCGTATGATACAGTTGATGTTCATGGATGAAACAATTTTTTGATAAACTTATTTTACTGAGAACTAATTTGATTTGTTGTCTATTAAATTTTTTTTAAAAATTTTTATAATTTCTTCTTAATTATAAGATAAATTATATTATTTTCTCAAAATTTTTTATCTACATGATACACCAGATAGGAAAACAAAAAAAAAATGTGGCATATGAGTCCTTTGGGAGATGGAGGTCAATATCATATTATGTTATTTATGCTTTGAAGAGATAGAGATTGACAATAGGCCAACCAAAAACTTCCATAAAATAAGTTGGAAAAATCATAACAATAAAATTTCATGAAAGAGCAAGAAAATTGTATCATAAAACTCAGTTAAGAATAAATGAGATCAACTAAAAAAAAGATTGGAAATTGCTGAAGGAATTAAAAAAAAACGGAGACTAAATTATGTTGAAACTCCGTTAGGAAAATAACAAATGCATCAGAGGAGTGGTGAAGAGAAAAAAATTTAGTAAGTAAAAAATATTATATGAATTTATCATTTTCTCATATTTATCAACATTCAATTTTATCAATTGTAGGTTTTGCTTAATGCCAAAAAAGTTAGGATTTCTAGCATAAACTCTGAGCTTGAGAAGAAACTTGATTATATGTTTCTCAATTTTGTGGCAAAGAGTTTCAATGTCTAAGAAACGACATAGGTTTTCTCCTAGAATTTAGATGAGCCTGAATATGCTCATGCAAGTGAATTCCAAGAGGAAGCACCTTTAAAGAGTGTACAAGATGAATCAAGACATTCCAAGCTTTTCACACTCTTCACATAGAAGCAGAAAAATAAAATGAAGGCATGCTCCCAACATTTATCTGAACAAATTTCACAGTTGGCCACGACCTGCTCCATTATGGCTCCTTGTGCTCGCAAGTCTATTCAGAGATACCCAACCACAGTGAAAGTTGTAAAGCCATTGAACTCCACTCCTGAGATATTCAATAATATGTCCTTATTTTTATTTGGCATAAATCTGTTAGAGGAATTAACAAGATGAAGGTTTTCATATCGGTGGTGCTGGAATGAAGTATTCCTTACCTCTCACATTTTTTTAAATAATCAACCTAGTTGGTTTGTTGTTCTTTTCTATTTCTTTTCCTCGTAGGTGTGTTATAATTTAAACTTTATGCCGAATAATGCCTTGCGATGTGTGTGTGACATTTCAGTTTGTATGTTTCACACTAC